CGCCTAAACTCTCAAGGGGGTGGCAACAGGAGCATCAAACTCGTGCCACATTACAACAAAATTGCAATACTTATCCCCTCAATGGGGTGTAACTCGTCTATCGGTTTGAGCGAAGGCCACTACCGAGTGCCCTTGGGAGATGCAAGATGTGGGCGATGTGACACGATGAAGGCAGCAGAGGTGGCAAGAGGATGAACTGCCTCCAACTCCTGCCATGCATCACAGCAGGTCTACCACTCATTTCATGTCTGCTATGGCATTACAATCAAGGTGGAGGCAAGATGGAGGGAAGGGGAGGCGAACCTACCCATCACAGGCAGTAATGATGGAGCCTTTGAGGTACTTCTGACCCATTCCATGCACCACAAAGCAAAGATGAGAAAAGGTAGGCGGTTCCGGATCAAATTCCGCCTCCTCGTGATAGCCGCGAGCCAGACGAGTTCCAACTAGTGGAGAAGAAAAAGGCCTAGTTACACAATTTGCTCCTCTGTCTCATCATTCAGGTCAGTGGACAAGTAAAAGTACGAGAAACACAAAACTGCAAACAATTAAATTAATTGAGACAATTAAATAACTAAGCTAGAGTTAATCCTGAGGTGATCAGAATGTCCAAATTGTGGAATTGATTTGAAGAGAACTTCATCCCATCCACACACCCACCGCACTAGTAACATAAAAAGAGGTAAAGGGAAGCGCCTTCCTTGACCCACCGCCACACCTTCGACTGCCAACGTTTACACAGCCCAACATGTAGGCGATGAAACGACTTTATGCGTGTCCCTTATGAAGAAAAAAAAAGAAAAAAAAACACCTCTCCCCTAGCGTAGCCATCGTCTCGCCCGTATTGCAGATACAACAACGCACAAGGAAATGCAACCTCGGCCACCAACTAGCACAAAGAGTGACAGACGTTGGGTGACAAAAAAAAGGTGGACAATATTTTTTTAGGAAACAAGCAAATTATCTACACTTTGTTCGGTTGTGTAAGGTAAAAAAAAAGCGGTACCAAGGCTGAAAATGAGAAGGCTGGAGGTAAGACGCACCAAAGTCAAGTACGGCTAAACTTCCTGAGTGTGCATTTTAGCCTCACAATGACGGCTGCGTCATGCGCTCCGAGAGCGGTACATTCCATTGAAATGACTGACGTGTTGTGGTGGTGAGTTGTGAGAAGAGAGGCGGCTTGAATTCACGTGCCGCCGAGGTGCAGCATTTGTAACACGGTGTTTACACCCCTCCCCTTCACAGAGGTTAACAAGTGCCGCCTCTCCCCCCCGCCCTTCCCCACCTTAGGGTACCACAAGAAGCGCCATCAAAAAGTGGTTCTGATGAAACGAAACAATAGCATACAACGCAGGTGGAGCATAAAGTGATGGCATTTTGAGACTACTAAGTAGGAGATGAACAGTTGAAAGTGCTGTGAGAGGGTAACAGAGTGACATGTGGTGCAGGTGTTTATAATTGAGGCCATTTCTTCTCTCATTCCATTTGTTGCTAATAGTGAAAAACGCGACACGCAAAGCACATCTTTGGATCACACGCCATCCCTCATAGCCTCGTAAAACAATGCGTGATGAGAGAGGAGACTCATCCACTGTTCGAAGCAGGTCCTTCACGGAGGTGGAGAAGTGTAAAGCACCATTAAGGCAATAAAAGGAGTTGAAGGAGGCTTAGAGCTTTCACTCCTATTAGGCAATTTCTTAACTGATGCCTCAACAAAATTGCACCTTACGAGTCAATTGTTGGTGATAGAGTGCCCTACACTTCCCACCGCCTGATCTTTAGCAGTGAGCACTGTAAGCCACACCCTCTTCAAGCTAATCACATTTCATTATCCCAGTGCCCAAGAGATTTGTCAAGTTGAAGTATCCAAACTTCCCAAAATGAAATTTTCATAAGGAAGTCAAGTACAATTCATTAAAGTTCCCCACACAGTAATTTTGGTGATGCGGTACAGACCTGAGCGATGTGGTTGACTTATCATTTCAATTAACTGAAACGTTGGAAGGTGAATAGGAGGCAATCAGGAGTGACCGCTCCCAAAGGCACCAGAAATACGGTAGTAGGACCAAAAAAATAGACCCAATTCACTGAAAATGTCCTTCACGAGTAGACAAGGTAATTTCCTTCTAAAGGCGAAAGGAGGACGAGCAAGACAAAATTGGCATATTCCAGCAAATAACAACCGAGTACTCGCCCCAAGTGCACAGACTAAACAAGCCCATTTTGAGCCTATGGGAGACACTAACGCCTATAGCAACAACCAGAATGATAAAAAGCGTTGACGTAAGATGGAAAAGGCGCAAAAACAAATGCAAAAGCAAACAAATTCTTACCCTTTTGCATGCCTAATTTCTGTCGAATGAAGAAAGTTGCACTTTCCACGTAAAGGTAGACCTCATCCAACGAGTACCAGTCAACGTGACAGTCTGCAAATTTCTGCGTGTACACACCTATGGAAGGAGGAGGAAAGTAAGGCACTGAATCAGCATACCTTAAAGAAATGTGGTGGAAAAAAATACAAGACTTGACACTTCGTATCAAATAGTAGCAATTGACCGTCTGTGAATAACGTCCCTTTGAGGAGAGCAGCAAACACGACTGATTCAGTTTAAGTGGAAAGAATTAGCGTAACAAGGTGAGCCTAAAATGAGGATCCTGCGAAAGGAAATTAAACGAAAAAAGGTAATAAAGTTGGTTACCGCTGTCCGTTAATTTGGTTTCAGTCTAAACGAAAAAATTGGCGGTATAAACAGAGAATGGGAAAGGGGTAGCGAGGGCTAAACCAACAAATATGGGCGTTTACGTCAGCCTAGCATTTAATTCGATAATGATGTGACGTCTCGAATGATGCTCTTGATCAAATGACAATTATATCCACATCAACACACACTAAAGCGGCGCTCGGTAGGCACATGGCACAAAGGGGTGAAGCGAAAAACCACATCAATGATATCAGTCGTGGCTGACGATTAATGACGTATAAACTCACAAATGGCAAAAGTAAA